AAAAAAAAAAAAAAAAAAAAAAACAAAACAAAACAAAACAAAAGAAAGAAGAGCAAAATCTAACTTACATCATATATCTATCCGTCGCCAGTTGTTATATCACGAACGGAGGTTTATTGTATTTATTGTCAGTTATGTGTAACAATGTTCCTCACGAATACACAAATGGATTCACGCACACACACACACACTAAATCAATAAATATGAATACGACAAACAGATACAAATATTAACTCACCTTTCTGAGAGGATTACCATCCAGTTTCAAGCATACGAGTTTGGGAAGGGCAGCCAAAACTGCAGCAGGCCAATCTTTAATCTTGTTCTTGGATAAAATTAATGTCTACAAGTCGAGTTTGTAGGATGAGTAATGGAGAACTAGCAGATAAAACATGTGAAATACATAATCCTAAACTGATATATCTGCAAAGATATCTGTAATCCTGCAGAAGTATGAAAGTATCACTTGGTCCTAACACTAGTTAAATTAAGCTGATGCCAGAAACTAAGAGTTTGCATATGCTGAATTATACATTAAATTTTTTGATCACCAAGTCTCAATACCAAAAGATTGGTAACAACCTGAGGNTAATAATAATAATAATAATAATAATAATAATAATAATAATAATAATAATAATAATAATAATAATAGTAAAAATAAATAAATAAACAAAGAAATTAACACTTAACTGAGGCCTATCAAAAACTAGGATAAACTAAATGATGCATATTTAGTCCAACGGATATCGTAGATCCTCAACCATATCAAAATTATGCAGCCACTTCATATTACCAAACTACTGCAACCTTTATAATGTTTACCTCAAGTGAGACACAGGATCTAAGCTCACATGGTAACTCCTCAATGGAATTTCCAGAGAGATTGATTTTTGTAATGTCACTCGACTTCCATACTTCGGATGGGACAGCATTCAAGCTTAGTCCAGCTAAAGATAGTTCCTGGAAAGCAATGATATTGGAAATACACTATAACTCATGGACAGTTAAACATCATAAAAGGCAATACTAAGAAAGATTTCTGAGAACGGTGTATAACTGATTAGATCTGCTACCAAAACACAGCTTCTCAATGACCAGATAGCCTATTAATTTCCATGAGAATGCCTATATAGCCAGTGTTAAAAAATTTAGCATGGCGGTTTGTCAAAAATCTGCCACGCCATACCCCCATGGTCGCCATTTGATGACACTGATATATGCTAGCAACCAAATGCAGATGGATAAATACACATGTACTAGGGAGTCTACCTTTGAAGAGAGTGAAGACCGAGCAGCCATGCTAACAGCATCTTCTTTCACAGCTGTGGTTGCTGAAGACTCTGCATGCAATAATGACGTGTACATGTTCAGGCATAATAGAGCATACAGACATAAATACAGAAAGTGAAACATAGAAATCCATGTGGGAAAAACTATAAAGTCAGGATTGGGATAATATTAGCATATTGTCGATTTCACCTTCATCGGTTGGAAGTCTACTTCGGAGATGCTTCAATAGAGCAGGGGTAGGTCCATATACCAGGGAACTAAATGACATCAGATATTTAGTCAAGGTTTAAGCAAAGCACAAAAAAAAAAAAAAAAAAAAAAAAAAAAAAAAAAAAAAAAAAAAAAAAAAAAAAAA